TCTGTCTGTCTTTTTCTCTGTCTGTCTGTCTGTCTTTCTCTCTCTGTCTTTCTGTCCTGTATGTCCGCCTGTCTTTTACTGTTTGTCTGTCCATCTCTATGTCTGTCTGTCTCTGTCTGCCTGTATGTCTGTCTGTCTCTGTCTCTGTCCATCTGTCTGTTGATCTGTCTGTCTTTCTGTTTGTCTGTCGTGTTGTCTGTCTGTATCTGTCTGTCTTTCTATCTGTGTCTTTCTGTCAGTCTCTCTCTCTCCATCTGTCTCTCTCTCTCTCTCTGTGCCTGTGTCCTTCTGTCTGTCTTTTGCTCTCTGTCTGTCTGTCTCTTTCTGTCTTTCTGTCTGTTGGTCTCTGTCTGTCTGTCTATCTGTCTTTCTGTGTGCCTTTCTCTATCTTTCTGTCTGTGTCTCTCTGTGTCTTTCTGTCTGTCTGCCTGTTTCTATCTGTCTGCCTATCTTTCTGTCTGTCTGTCTTTCGGTCTTTCTATTTTGGACGTTTGGCACAGATTCTGCTTGACTTACACTGACACAAATTCTACTGGACCTGCACAAGCTCAACACAACTCATGTATCAAGGGCCCTCACCAAGCAAGCTCTTTGAATTTGGAAGCATTCTGCCACCCTTCCCATTTCTGCCACTTTCGGGGCTGTGACCCTCAGGTCATGTTGTGCTGGGCCAATTTTGTGGGTTTTTTTCACAGATTTTGCTTTCCTTCCCCAGACACAGCTTCCAGGGGTCCGGCACAGGTGCCGACGCACGGCTGGTTTCAGGGACCTTCATCGAGCAAACTCTGTGAAACATTCTTTCAGCCTGGCCATTTCAGCCACATTCGGGGCCAGGACCCACATGTAAGTTTGGCGGGCCGATTTTGGGCATTTTGGACAGCTTTTGATTCCCTTCCACTGACACCACTTCCAGCATCCGGCCAGGCTCTGATGCCCGGTGGTGTCAGGGGTCCTCCCTGAGCAAACTCTGCACATTTGGAAGTATTTTGCCAATCTGCCCATTTTGGCCACTTTTGGGCCGTGACCCACGGGTCAGCGTGGCGGGCCGATTTTGGGCATTTTGCACGGATTTTGCTTGCCTTCCACAGACACAAGTTCTATTGATCCAGAGCAAGCTCCGTCTCAACTCGTGTTTCAGGGGCTTTTGCTTGTTTTTCCAAGACACGGCTTCCAGGGTCCAGGACAAGCTCTGATGCACAGCTGGTTTCAGGGAGCCGACTCTGAATTTGGAAGCATTCTGCCAGCCTGCCCATTTTGGCCACTTTCAGGGCTGCAACCCGTGGGTCATCTTGGTGGGCCGATTTTGGGCATTCTGGACAGCTTTTGCTTGTCTTTCTCAGACACTGCTTCCAGGGGGCCGACACAAGTGCCAACGTAGGGCTGGTATCACGGGCCCTTGTCAAGCAAACTGCGCATTTGGAAGCATTCTGCCAACCTGCCCATTTTGGCCACTATCGGGGCTGCAACCCGTGGATGAGCGTCGCATGCTGATTTTTGACATTTCAGACAGATTTTGCTTGCCTTCCTCTGACACCCCTTCCAGGGGTCGGGCACCTGTGCTGACCCACACCTGGTTTCAGGGGCCCTCCCTGAGCAAACGCTGTGAATTTCGAAGCATTCTGCCAGCCTGCCTATTTTGGCCACTTTTGGGGCCGTGACCCACAGGTAAGCATCACGGACCAAAACGAGGTTTCCTGGCATGACTTTGATGATTGGTATGTGATTAGGATGGGCAGATATGATGAGCTGCACAGTAAAAGCTACTCCAGGAGGGATTTTACAAATTGCCTCCTTTGCAGTGGAACTTTTCCCTATATTAGGGTTAGGGGATTGCAGCAAGCAAGGGTTAGAAAAATGAGGTGTATTCGTATGAGTTTGAAGACTGTAATGTGATTAATATGGGCAGAAATGAAGAGCTGTACACAAAAATTTACTTAAGGATGTATATTTTAAAATTGCCTACTTTGCAGTAGAACATTCCCCAATATTAGGATTATGGGTAGCACCAAGCTAGGGTTAGGGTTGGAAAAGCAAGGTGTCCTGCTATGTTATTGATGACTGGAATGTAATTCGCATGGGTAGCCATGATGAGCTTCTCAGAAAAAGCTACTCCAGGACAGGTTTTACAAATTTCCTATTTGCTGTGGAACATTCCCCTATATTAGGGTTAGGGGATTGTACCATGCTAGGGTTTGGGTAAGAAAAACAAGGTGTCCTGGTAAGATTCTGGTCATTCTAATGTGATTAGCAGGGGAAGAAATGATGAGCTGTGCAGAAAAATTTACTAAAGGATATATTTTTAAAAATGGCCTACTTTGCAGTGGAACATTCCCCAATATTAGGGTTAGGGGAGCACCAAGCTAGAGTTAGGGTTAGAAAAACGAGATGTCGTAGTTTGGTTCTGAAGACTGGAACGTGATTAGCATGGGCAGAAATGATGAGCTATGCAGGAAAATCTACTCCAGAATGGATTTTACAAATTGCCTACTTTGCAGTGGAACTTCCCCCTATATTAGGGTTAAAGAAGTTCACCAAGCAAGGGTTAGGATTAGAAAAATCAGTTGTCCTGGTATGATTTTGATCATTGGAATGTGATTAGCATGGGCAGAAATGATGTGCTGTGCAGAAAAATCTACTCCAGGACGGGTTTTACAAATTGCCTCCCTTGCAGTTGAACTTTCCCCTATATTAGGGCTCAGGGAGTGCACCAAGCTGGGGTTTGGGTTAGAGAAACTAAGTGTCCTGGTATGGTTTTGATGATTGGAATGTGGTTAACATGGGCAGAAATGATGAGTTGTTCAGAAAAATTTACTAAAGGGTATATTTTTTAAAATGGCCTACTTTGCAGTGCAGCATTCCCCAATATAGGGGTTAGGGGTAGCACCAAGCTGGGGTCAGGGTTAGAGAAACGAGGTGTCCTGGTATGATTTTGATAAGTGGAATGTGATAAGCATGGGCAGAAGTGATGAGCTTTGCAGAAAATTCAACTGCAGGACGGATTTTAGAAATGGCCTAGCTTGCAGTGGAACTTTCCCATATATTAGCATTAGAGGCTAGCACCCAGCTATGGTTAGGGTTGGAGAAACAAGTTGTTTTGGTATGATTTTCATAAATGAAATGTGATTAGCCTGGGCAAAAATGATGACCTGTGCAGAAAAGTTACTAAAGGATGCATTTTTAAAAAATGCCTACCTTGCAGTGGAACTTTTCCCTATATTAGGGGCAGGGGAGTTCACTTGGCTAGGTTTAGGTTTAGAAAAACAAGGTTTCCTGGTAGGATTTTGGTTTTTGGAATGTGATTAGCATTGGCAGAAATGATGAGCTTTGAAAAAAAAAAAAAAAAAACTAGCGGATGGATTTTTTAAAATGACCTACTTTGCCATCGAACTTTCCCTTTTATTAGGGTTACTGGTAGCACCAGGCTAGGGTTAGGGTTAGAAAAATGAGGTGTCCTGGTACAATTTTGATGGTTGAAGTGTCATTGGCATGGGGAGCAATGATTAGCTCTTCAGAAAAAGCTACTCCAGTACCGATTTTAAAAATCGCTTACTTTGCAGTGGAACTTTCCCCTATATTAGGGTTAGGGGATTGCACCAGGCTAGGGTTAGGGTTAGGAAAACGAGGTTTCCTGGTATTATTTTGATGGTTGGAACTTGATTGTCATGGGGAGCAATGATGAGCTGTGCAGAAAAAGCTACTTCAGGACAGATTTTAAAAATTGCCTACTTTGCAGTGGAACTTTTCCCCTCTATTAGGGTTAGTGGATTGCACCAGGCTAGTGTTTGGGTTTGAAGAACGAGGTGTCCTGGTATGATTTTGATGATTGGAATGTGATTAGCATGGGCAGCAATGATGAGCTGTGCAGAAGAAGCTACTCCAGGACAGATTTTTCAAAATCGCCTACCTTGCAGTGACACTTCCCCTATATTAGGGATAGGGGAGTGCACCTGGGTAGGTTTAGGGTTAGAAAAATGAGGTGGTGGTGAACCTCTGACACGTGTGCCACAGAGCACACGCAGAGCCCTCTCTGTCAGCATGTGAGCCAAGTCACTGCAGCATCGCCCCAGCAGCTGAGTATCGGATTAGAGTGCACATAGGGGCCATGCGCATGCTCGGAAATCATCACCAGGCGATCACGTCACGAGCCATGACTCATTAGCTGCAACTTGTCCGTGCTTTTGCATGGCCAGTCAGTGTGCTGCCAAGGAGATATACATATATATTTGCTTGGACTGGCTGTGTGTCGTTTTTTTCTAAGCTAAAACCTAAGTTTTCAGGTTTTATTGCACTGTTGGCACTTTGTGATAAATAAGTCTGTTTTGGGTTACAGTTTTGGTATTCAGTAGGTAAAAGATTTGTCATCACTGTGATAGGATTTTGGACAGCAACAACAAAAGAATTTGTGCCTCTTCCTGAGCTTGCCTGCACAGACTTTACTGAACCTGTTACTTTTATGGAGGAACCTAAGGCTTTTGTGCTCAAAGCTATTAATCAGCTCTTAATCCTCCATATCTACCCAGGTTTTATTGCAGAATTGAAATCTGAAAGGTGAGGAGCATTTGCTTTCCTGCTTTACTTTTACATATCCTCTAGATATCACTGTGGTGTAATGGAATAGCACAATTACACAAAAGAAAATTGCAGCTTCTTCCATTTTCATAATTGAATGCCACATTTCTTTGCTCATAAAGAATGCTTGCAAAATTCCTGTTAGACACAGAATCAAAGCTGGAGAGGCATGATATCACCTACAAAACCCTTAAACTACTGATATTAAGCCATGATGTGCATACTATAAACATCTCATGCAAAAAGCCTCTCTAGACTCTAGGCTGTTCAGCAATGCAATATTTGGTATGCTGGATGTTCCTTTCAATCCAGGAACAAACAGCAAGCAAGCTTCTTTGCTGGTGTTGGCTGTACAGGGCTTTAATTCAGATATTATTACCTGTGAAAGAGTGAAAAACCTCTGATTGTATAAGTTGTTATGTGGTAGAGTTTAAATATGTGGCTGTCCTAATGGCTGGCACCATGCACAATTATCCCCTCTTTTGTTCATCATGAGATATCAGATTCAGATGATTGAAGGAGGCAGGGTAACAGAGGAGTGAGTGGAGGGGATGCTTGGCAGCTGAGAGCAGGCTGCAGTCTGGGGCAGAAGTGGGAGTTGCAGGAAACTCCATTAGCAGGAGCTGGGGGAAAATAAAGAAAACAGGGTGTTAGTGAGCGGAATTAGGGACTGGAGTTAGTTAACGGAACAATCCCATAAATTAAGGGAAAAAGTTTCGTAACTCCTGGTGTGTCCCAGCCTCATGGATAGAATGAACTTTAAGTGAATACAATCAGAGACAAGTTATGAATTTGCAGCAAGGGGGAGAAGCTATTGAAAGCAGGGTTGAGGTTTTTTTTTTTTTAAAGAATTAGTGTTACTATGACCGTATTTGTGTTATCGTTGAGCTGTTAAAACAAAGCGTATACTTTCAGATAACTATGTTCCGTTCTGGGTGACATTGAAGAATTCACCCCACATGCTAAGGATGTGAAAAAAGACACACACACACACACATACTCTTTTTGAATCAGGTAGTAGCAGCTGGTGTTTTGAGGAGTCCTGGGTAAAATCTGTCCTATGGAGGACAGCTATTTGAGGTACAATTTCTGCTTCCCAATTGTTGGGCAATAGCATTAACAAAGTTACACTTCCCTCCAAAATAAATTATGCTGACATGAAGAGCATGGCAAAAGCAGGAGTGGATTTGTATGTGTGGAAGGATCATAGACCCCTTTCAGTTCTGGTATGTAAAACACATTCTTGGGCTCAGAGCTTTTTAATTCTAAGTATATGTTTTTGCACCAGGCTATGGCTGGATCTAAGGATTCTAGTAAAAAAAAGTCACAAAGCAGCTCCCACAAGCCTGCCTCTGATCTAATTTTTCCTCGCTCAAACCAACAATAGAAACACTGTGCGTTTAAAAAACAAAACAGGCCACTCTCAAAATCATTAAATCATACTCCAAACATACTTAAAATCCAGATACAGTGACTCTAGGAGAAGTGGTATGCATAACAACCATCATGCTTGAAATAATCCTCATTATTAGAATTAATTTTTCCTGCTCAAGCATGTGGTTTATAAAGTAGTCTGAAGGTATCTGGGAATAATTGGCTGTTTTACAATGAATAGGCATTGATGAGGATATATCCCTGAATTACAAAAATTAGGAAATTGCAAGAAAACATCCCTTCTGAATCCAGTCTCAGTACTTTTGTTTTTGGCTTGGTGAAATAAAGAATGTTCCTGCCCACATTGAAGGTAGCTGCATAGGGAAGGACATAACTCTCTGTGAAACAAATCAACTATTTTGTGTTTAAACTTGTAATCGCATAAGTCTTCTGTATGTATCAAGGAATACACACAGAATATGTTGGGCCCTTTGGTGAATTTAAAAATAATTGAGTGTACAAATTCAGTTTTGGCATGTTCCATCTCACTTCAATGTGTGCCACACCAAACTAGAAGCAGTGGCTTCTTTCCAGTGTCACCATTATTCTTCGCAATTCTGCTGGACTTGACTTAAGGCTGGCACTTAAGAAGTGCATCAGAAAGACTGAAATACATAGTTGGACTGGTCCCTGAAGATCACTTAGTCCAATACTATGTTCAATGCAGGCTGTATAATGCGGGTCAAACCTACAGCATCCCTGCCAGATGGCCATCCAACCTCTGCTTAAACACCTCTACTTCCCAAGGCAGTCCATTGAACAGCTGTCACTGCTGGGAAACTTCCTTAATGTTATAGCCAAAATGTGCTTGACTGCAATTCCCAACCAATGTCCACAGGCATACCTAGATCTCTCCAGATTACGGGAGAGCAAAGAAGCCTACAGAAAGGACTTCCCCATTGTATTGCAAAATCAAGAGGGATTAAACCCACTTATTTATTTAAGATATTTGTATGCTGTCCTTTGCGAAAGCCTCAGGATGGCTTACACAAATAAAATTCCAAAGTACATAAACAATATAAATAAACTGATGACCCACTCTGGCTGAAAATT